AGTGAAGAAGTGCAAATTTGAGGTATTGAAGACAGAATACCTCAGAGTAATCATTAGCAAAGAAAGCATCTGAATGGACTCTGTCAAAGTGGCTAAGATGATCAAATGACCAATCCCTAGAAAGAAGAAGGAGTTACAGTCCTTTTTGAGATTCACTAACTTCTACCAACAGTTTATTCATGATTACAGCAAAATTGTCAGACCAATAATGCAATTAACTAGAAATGCTCTATAGACATGAGAAACTTTTTAGCAATCAGCTTTTAACAATCTGAAATGATAGCTTGCTGAAGATGTTGTCTTAGCAATTCTGACTCAGGATAGAAAGTTTCAGGTGGAGGCTGATTCAAGTGAGGAAGCTATTGGGGCTATACTTTTCTAAAAACAGGATGGGAAATAGTAACTCATAGCCTTTCTATCTAAGGCTCTAACAGTGACAGAACAAAATTATAAAATATACAACAAGAAACTCCTTGCGATAATGCTTGCTCTAGAAGAGTGATACTATTATCTAATCAGCACAGTTCAGACCCTTGAAATTTGGACTGACCATCAAAACCTCTGCTATTTCTATACACTACAAAAGCTCAACTAATAATAGGCTCACTGGATAATCAAACTGAGCTAGTACAAGTACACTCTGCACCATAAGGCTGGAGTGGCAAACAAGAAGGCTGATCTTCTCAGTCAGCATGTGAACTATGATTAAAGAGGATATAATAATGAGAGAGTAATATTATTAAAGTCTGAACACTTTTAGACAATGATAATACTAATGGAGAAAGAGATCTATAAGTAGATCAAGAGTGTGACCTGAGACAGTAGTAAGTGGGATCAATGCATGGCTCTATCTCTGAATCACAAACAAAAAATGATGAAGAAAGGTGGAATAATCCAATATGACAGGCAGATCTATATTTCACAGGATCAAGAACTTTGAGAAGAGATTATTGCCATGAGCTATGATCATGCAATCACAGGATATTCAGGAATTGCAAAGACTAAAAAATTAGTCTTATGAGAGTATTAGTAGTCTAAATTAGGCTAAGACATCAAATGGTATGTCAAGAGGTGTGAGACTTACCAGCAAAATAAGTTGTCAACACAATCTCAAGCTATGCTACTCTATCCAAATAAGGTCTCTCAATCACCATAGACTCACATCTCAGTGGACATGATTATTGGATTACCAGACTGCAATGGGTATAATGTGATTCTTATCATCACTGATCAGTTTTCAAAAGTGATCATTCTAGTCATGTGTTTAATGGAGTTAACATTAAAAGGATAGGCCAAAATACTTTATGATGAAGTATATGCTAAATATAAGATGCCTCAGATTGTGATCTCCAATTGGAGACCACAATTCATCTCAAAATTCCTTAATGACCTATACTGGCTACTCAATATTTGATGAAATATATCTACCATCTATCATCCACAAATAGATGATCAGATAGAATGAATCAATCAGAAAATCAAAAAATACCTCCAGCTTTTTATTAACTACTATCAAGATGATTGAATGGAATGACTTGCTCTTGCAGCCTTTTAGCACAACAACCACATTCACTCTACTACTAGTAAAACCCTGTTCTTTGTTAATCACAACCAACATCCCAATGTCACCCACATAGAATGTGTCTATATATCAACTTCTGCCTCAAATGAATTCACTACCACAATGTTCAAGATCCATGATAAAATCCAGATTGCTCTTGAAAAAACAGCCACTTCCATGAAAAAACAGTATAACAAATATTGCACTCCCACTCACATATTCACAGTAAACAATAAAGTCTGGTTGAATATAACCAACTTTCATCTACTATGACCAAAACAGAAACTTGCCAACAAATGCATCAGCCTCTTTCTCATCCTCATCAAAATTGGTCCTTCTGCCTATCAATTACATCTTCCATCTATATGGAAAATCCATGACATATTTAACAAATCACTCTTAATCTCTTTTATTGCACTGGTATTCCCAAATTAAGAACAACTCTCACCTTCTCCTCCTGATCTAATTGATGATAAAGAATATTATAAGATCAACCAGGTCTTAAACCATAAATTGCAAAAGGTTAAGGCCAGAGGCAGTGGGACAACCATGACAGTTGATTACCTGATCAGTTGAAAGAGCTATAGTCTAAAATCTAACCAGTGGATAAATGAAAAATAAATGAATGCTTCAGATGCTATATATGATTATAAATTGTCTCTTAATTAAGCCATCAAGACAATAGTCTTAAGGAGGGGATAATGTTATGATTTTTCTATTTTTTTTCTTAATTAATCCCTATTTATGCTTAGTCAAGGCACCTGTATCAGCACTTAAGACTGTGGGATCAGCTTAGTCATCACAACAAGCCAAGTCTGTCATTGTCTTTCAACATAATGATGACACTTGGCAATATACAACAACCCTATTGTAGATAGTAGTGATGTTCAAGGACAATGAACACAATGACTTGGACAGACATAATAAGTAGTAGTATATTTATCTCAACAGACTTATAATATATAAGTAGGACAGCTCTCACTGGTATAATCCCAGCTTCAAGCTAAAGTTTATTCACCTTATTCTACTCTCAAGCTATATCTGTTTGCAGCCTTGAAGCATTTGGTCAATAGGATACAACAAGTGAACTCTAGTGCAAAGGTTTGAAGGTGAAACCATGTTAGTTTATCATGTGTTCAGATCATGTGTGGCTTGAGTCTAACACTGGCATTATCTTGGAATTTCTTGGGGCCATGAATTTTATTTTTTGCAGGTGCTTATCTTCAAGTTGAAGATCACTCCATATATCTTTAACTTGTTTGTGGAAGTGCTGCATTGGATTATCCAATGTCACATACCTGCTGCTATACATCATTATTTGGATGATGTTCTCCAAATTTTCTCTCCACACACTCCAGATGCCATATCTACTGCAGCTGTAGAATGAGTACTAGCTCTTGGTCATGAGCTTGGTCTTTCCTTCCAGGAATCCAAGACAGAATAATCCTCATGTATCATTGAGTTCCTTGGCATCATTCTTGACTCTGTGCACATGGAAGGTTGCCTACCAGTTGACAAGCTCTCATACCTTCATGACCTCCTCCACACATGGCAAATCAAGAGCTCATGTACTCTCTGTGAGCTGGATGAACTTACAGAGTATCTCCAATTCTGTTCACAGGTTATCCCTCATGCCCATTTCTCTGTCAGCTACATAATTTTGCCTCTTCTTTTTCATCTAAGTTTTCCATCCAGCACATTCCATCAGGTGTTGCCTCTGATATCAACTGGTAGAGTGTATTCAGCTCAAGGTGGAATGGAATCTGCCTGTTGAAAGAAGAGTGAGAGGTAGTTTCTGTTTTCACAGATGCTAGTGGTCAAAAAGGCTTGGGTGGCCATTTTAGTGATGAGTGGTTCTCTTCTTATTGCCCATGTCACTTGAGGAGCTGTGACATCCAGTATAAAGAGCTGTATGCTATCTTACAAGCTATTTTGTGCTGGGATGACTTATAGTCAGGAAAGACAGTCAATTTTTGTTGTGATAATCAGAACATGGTTAGCTGGCTCAATTCTGGGATGAGTTGGTCTTCACATAGCATGGCAGTCCTTCAGGTTATAGTAATGCTTGCATCTTGCTTGGATTTCTCTTTTTTCTCAGTTTGGATTTCTACTGCTGAAAATAGCATTGCTGATGCAGTGTCTTGTTTCCAGTACCACTGGATGTTTCAACTCACACCCAACCTCCAAAAGAAATCCTCTTCAATGAAGTCCCATCCTCATTCTATGAAACACACCCTCACTACTCTTCATGTGTCACATTCTTCCTCTTCCATGGCCTTGCATCCAGCACTCAGAAAACATACTCCAGTAGACAGAAATCCTTTATTGACTTCCTCAGACTTCATCCCAAGTTCATGGACCCTCCAGGCCAATTCTTACTAGCAAGTATCACTGCAGTAATGGAATGGGCGACCTGGTTATGCTCCAGAGGATTGATGCCAAAGACCATCAAATCATATATTAGTGTGTTACACTCACTTCATGTCAATGCAGGGCTTCCTTTCAATCAGTGCAAGTCCTTGTCTGTCCAGTGCCTCCTTCGGGGTATCAAGTGCTTCTATGGCGAGCGAGAGCGGAACCCCAAGATGCCTATCACACTGAATATCCTACAAATATTGTCTTCCATTGCAGGGAACACCTCACACATCAACAATGCTATTTTTGATGCTGCATCCAAGCTCACATGGTCAGCTTTTCTCCGTTGTGGAGAATTCACTCTGTCAGGCAATGAAGTTTTCAATCCCGCAGTGCACATTACCAGGGATGCCATTCAGTTCCTGCCTGACTTTGATTGCCCATCCCACATTCATCTTACACTCCCTGCATCAAAGACTGACCCCTTTAGAAAAGGCGTCACAGTCTTGATTGCTACCACATCCGAATCTTCTACATGTGCAATGTCAGCATTGAAGAATCTTTTTATAATCCATCCCCTGGATGGCCAAGCCCCACTATTTGCAGATATGAATGGCGATCCACTCCGTTGTAATGCATTTGTGCACACTTTGAAGGACCATCTTGCTCTTCTCAGGCTGGACTCATCCAGTTTCTCTGGCCATAGTTTTCAGTGTGGGGCTGCATCATCAGCTGCTGTAGCTGGGTTTTCTGACTATGAGATTCAGTTGCTAGGAAGATGGCATAGCGATGCTTACAAACTCTATATCGATGTTCCTCGTGACCGTATCCTCCACCTGTCTGCTCAACTTCATGTGGCCGCGCCTCTTGCTCCCTCTCCCAATCCGCTGGATTTCCATTTCGCGCCCGTGGTGGCTTGAGCATGGCTTCCCTTGAGGGGCCATCGCGAGAGAGCTTTGGTGTCCAAACAAAGACTTGTTTTGTCCCCAACCCCTCGCTCCTAAGAACACTCCTCATCCAATACTGCTCCTCACGTCCTCTCAACTCCTAGAACAAGCATAGAAGCTGGCCTAAACACCACAACCACCCCAATACATCCTACCAAAATGTCACCTAGCAACTCAAACTCTGGTTTAATATTTGTGCATTCTCATGGCCTTCCCGCTCTTCACGGTATCTCAACTGTCCCTCTTCTTCCAGGTTACTGGGGGCTCAGGCTTTATCGGCTACCATATATTGTCCCAATTGCTAAATAACCGGTATTTCGTTCGAGCGTACGTTCTATTCACGGTACATTGCAAATTTTTCAATTGATAGTGTTATATTTTAGTGCTGCCCGAGGAAAGAAGATCGAACTCCTGAAGAAGGCCCTCTCCGCCAACTACAGTAGCGACAGATTCGAAGTCATCGAGGTCGCCGACATCACTTCCGGTGACTTGAGTCAATACCTCAAAGGTGAGAGAGCTCGATGATAACTTACGGTCAATATTGGCTCACGCCACTTCTATAAGGTGTTGATGGGATAATCCATGCTGCAGCTCCTCTTCCGGGACGAGTTGATGTAGAAACAGCCTTTAAGGTACATTTCCTGCACTTCAAGCCGTCAACTTAACATTAATGTTTTGTTCGTAGATCAGCATCGAAGGATCTCTACATATTTTACGGGAAGCTGTCCACGCGAAGGTTCCCAGAGTCGTTGTTACTAGTTCTATCGCGACATTTCCTCTCCCACAAGGACCATTTGGCGCCAACGGTGAGTCTTTTCTCAGTATTTGATCCACATTTTACTCGTTGCGCCGATTTCAGATTGGAATCCTGTCACCAAAGATCAAGCCATAGCCTCGGGATAACCATTCCCAATTTACATGGCCCAGAAGAAATATGCAGACTTGGCGGTCGTTGAATTCGCGGAGAAACACACAGAAATAGATGTTACGCTCGGTATGGTCGCACTCGTTCAGCTTGTTTCACCCAAACTTATACGGCCTTTCTCCGCAGCTGGACCTGCCTTTACTTACGGGCCCTTCGCGCCTGGCTTCGAATGCTTCCTTCCCGAACCAGATCTCAGCGCCCTGTCTACAAACGAGAGCATCTATGCGCTCCTTCGACCTGGAAACACTAGGATCCCTATCGCCCCAGGTGCTATTGATGTTCGTGATGCTGCAAGGGCACACATCCTTGCCCTGAAATTCCCACCTTCGACAGAAGTTGGGCCGAAGAGGTTCGCAATTGTGTCCCCGCACAGGTCTTCATATAGGGACGCTCTCACGATCATCGCGAAAGAGCGCCCTGAGCTCAAGGACCGCCTAACCGATGCCACCCTTGCACGGGAGTGGTCTTTGTATACGTTTCCTGTGGAATGGCAGAAGATAGATGATGTACTTGGTTTAAAGGCGGATTCGTTCATTCTATGGGATAAGACGGCTTTGGATACCGTTGATAGTCTTGTCCACGCCGAAGGCTTGTGGAAAGAGAAGGGGTTCGAGGTTCCACCGTTATTCCATCATCTATAGCCCTATCAGTATTTCGCAAAGAGCCTATAGGGCTACCGACGCAGTGCTTATAAGTCCAGAAACTCTAACGAATAGAAGGACAAGTCATTCTAGTACTTCCTTCCGGAAGTAATTCAATAATGCCCCCCTTCTCTAACTCACTCTCCCTCGTCCCAAAGTACCTTTCGCTCTGCAAAAATGACTGTCAGAAGGATCAATCGCATCTAATAGATGGAGCTAACCTTGAAGCTGAAAGCATCGATACCTCGCACCCAGTTTCCCAAGCCTTCGACGTACCAGCCGACTTGCGTATACAACTCTGACCTACGAAGCACGTTGTAAGTGGTCAGAAACTCCCGCACGAGCTTGTTGTTCAGGTCGGACATCCACGAGACCGTCTCATCCAGATTCATCTTGAGCTCATTCATTGCAACGACAACGAGATTGTGCGTTTCTCCATGGGCCTGTCTAGAAGCCAAAGAGAATTAACGCTTGGAACACGCTGGACGCATTCGGAATAGACCCACTCCTTGTTGTAAGAGTAGATATCATTCCCAATGATGATGAGATCGATAGCCGTACATCTGAGAGTCTCGATCTCTTTGCGACTCCAAACATCCTCCGGAAGATCCATACCAACCTCGAGAAGCGAGAATAAGACCCGCGTTGCAATGGTTCCCCGTCGGATCTCCATATAGCTCTGAATATTGTGAATGCGTTCAACAGTCTGATCGGCAGCCTCTTGCACAGCTGCATCACAGTATGCCTCGAATGCATTGATGAACCTTATACGAGAAGTGGGGTTAAATAATCGGATTACCCTCTCCCCGATCCTGAAACCCCATCAGGAAATCAATAGACAGGGAAAGATAAAAGTTTGGGTACTGCCGGGCCATCTCTCCGCCAATCCACTCACCGACGGGCCGCGCTTTATCTGGGTTTTGTAGGCCGTCTACGATAATATCCGCAAGCAATCGCGCCTCGTGTTCATCTATCAGGTCAACCTCGATTATATCGTCGAAATATAACATTAATATCAACAAATCGCAGCCCATTCGGAAAGTGTCTGCAGCTGTCAGATGACAAGATTTCGAGCAGATAAAATTATACCTTTATCCGCCCGAGGAAGCCCTAATGCGAGCAAGAGACCTTAAATTCGAGATGTCAAGACTGTCTGTAATATGGAGAAAGGTAGGGGCCTACTGGTATCGATACTATCTGGCGCATCGGCTTTGAAGGAACGGACCCATGCAGTCGACTCCGCTCTGCCAATATCGTAATGCGGATTCATGCTATGATTCCAGGGCCAGCACCAAAGTAGATGAGGAATGTGCATTGTCCGTTTAGCAGACGACGTTGGTGCCATTTCGATTCAACTTGACGTGCTATAGTGAGATAGTCGTAGCGATGAGTTTCTCTCAAATGCAGACTCGACAGCAAGAGAAGTGAAGATGACTCAAGTCAAATGTTAGTAGATGTCGACCACGGAAATTGATACAAGTTAACCCACCTCAGATAGACACTTGAAGAGGGAGAAAACAGTAATTTAGGTTAGTATGCGCGCTAAGGGGTATATATACGTCTAAAAACTCCTTCCTTCCTTTGATGGCGTGGCGTGCGGTGCAAATCATAATTGGGTAGATAAATAACGAGGAGATTGGGAGAGATTGATAGCAGATGGTGATAATGATGATGGTGCACTCGGGCGCACACCTATTAGACTCGGTGCGAGAAACGGCCAAGTCGCAAAGAATTAGGAAATAGTAGTCGATCAATCGTTGAAGTGCTGAACGCTGATCCCTCAAGGCATTAGTGCTGCAAAGACAGTACGTGAAATCTCAGCTTGAGCCAGTTTTCAGGATGATGTGCTGCGATCCGAGGCAAGGTTGACAGATTATTATCATCGATAAATGAGCGCTCTAAACATGTTTCCTGTCAAT